ACCCTTAAATGTATTTAGACCAAATACGTCTTATATAGTTTGAGATTTTACAATCGTTAAGATTATTTATCCTAAATAATCTTCTATTTAAAAATGTTATTTTATCACTTTTCGATAAGTTTATAACAAGATTTATACAAATATTACATACCTATAATATTTGTCCACATAACACGTATATAATAAATAAGTATTTATATAACCTGTAACGCATACGCATACGAAGAAAATTTATCCTATTTGAGAATTTTAATTATTTGATAAAACAAATATTTATTATTATTATCCCCTTAACGTCTAGCCTAACTCTCGGACGTTACAGATGTGATTTTTTATGTGATCGGGTGGTTTATGATGTGACAAACAAAGATAGTTTTAATAATGTGAAACAATGGCCGAGTGAAATCGATCGCTATGCAAGTGAGAATGTCAACAAGATTCTTGTTGGAAACAAATGTGATCTTGTTGCAAATAAAGTTGTTTCAACTCAAACAAACAAGGTATAAATATATAAACATATATAATTAATTTAAATGCAAATTTATATTGTTTATATTTATATTTTCAAGCATTTGCTGATGAAATTGAAATTCATTTCTTGGAAACAAGTGCAAAAGATCCACCAATATGGAACATGCTTTCATGACCATGACCGCTTCCATCAAAGACAGGTACTCAATATTTTATAAATTTCCAAAAAATATAACTCTTTTTATTTTTCGAGATAGGTTAATGACTTACTTGTTTATGCAAGAAAGTTGATTATTTTACCAATTTATGTAGCCATGTCTCAATTTCTTACCAATATTTGTAATGAAGTGGATTTTTGACATGCATAAATTTGTAAAATTAAAACTATAACATGATAAAACATGGCTTTATAAGTTTGTAAGAAATTTAACTTTGAGGATTCTAATGGAATGGTTGCCAAATATACTTGATTTATTTTCATTTTTTTTATTAAAGACCAAAATGCTCTCATTACATATATACATAAATAAATAGAAATAAATAATTTAGTTTATACATTTACAATAAACAAAATATATTTAAATATAAATAAGGATTTCATTTTTATTGTTGAATTCCATTTCGACCAACCAAAATTTCACATTCACATTACAATTTCAATTCCAATCTTGAATCTACATATCTACACTTGTAGTATTTCAATCATAACAATTTTCCAATCTTGAATTTATCTGTTTACCGCCCATTAAATTCACATGTAAATCACACGTGAATTACATATTAATTACATATGAATCATATGTAATTCACATGTAAATCACAAGTGAATCACATATGAATTATATATGATTCACATATAATTCACATATGAATCACATGTAAATCACATATGAATTATATGTGATTCACATGCAATTCACATATGAATCACATGTAATTCACATGTAAATTATATATCACATGTATTTCACATATGAATCACATGTAATACACATATGAATCACAAGTGAATCGCATATGAATTACATGTGATTCACATGTAAATCACATGTAATTCACATATGAATCACATGTAATTCACATATAAATCACATGTGAATCACATATGAGTTACATGTGATTCACATATCAATCACATATAAATCACAAGTAAATCACCTATGAATTACATGTGATCCATATGTAATTCATATATGAATCACATATAATCCACATTTAAATCACAAGTGAATCACATATGAATTATATGTGATTCACATGTAATTCACATATGAATCACATGTAACTCACATGTAAATCACAAGTGAATTACATGTGATTCACGTGTAAATCACGAGTGAATCACATATGAATTACGTCCATATGCACACATGCATTTTTGTGAGTGTTCTTGCATTAATCATTTTTTTTGTTAATTTTCTTGTAGATTTGGTAGAATTTGTGGAAAAATATTGAAGATGTGAAAAGTCATAAATGGAAGAAAATATGAAAATTTTGACACGAATACATGAAAACGCTTTGAAATTTTATTGTGTTTTTTGTTTTTTATATTTTATTTGTATCAAATAAAATATTTGTACTATTGTGTTTATAGACTACTAAATAAAAATGGTTTTTTTTAAGATTTACCAACGAATATTATTGTATAAGAAATATGCATATATGCAATTGAAAAAAAATATGCACTTAAAACGTTGATTTTTTTTTTGTTAAAAAATTATAGAGTTTTTTTAATTTACTGATTTTTAAAAATTTATTGTTTTTTAAAAAATTATAGTTAAAAAAAACTATTTTATCATTTTTTTTAAATTCATGTTTTCTAAAAAAATTGTATTAAAAAAAACGAAAATTGTTATTTAACAAAATCCAAAATTTTGATTTATTATGTTAATTTTTAGACATTTTTATTAATATTTCCAATAACACAAAAAATCAAACATTAAATGGGGGTGGTAAGATGACGATCATGCCCTTAATGAGTTACTTTCGATGTAACGCTCTACATTTAGTTTTCGGGAAACTATAAGTTCTCAAGGATCTCACCCGTATATATATATATATATATATATATATATATATATATATATTATATATATATATATATATATATATTATATATATATATATATATATATATATATAAGAGAGAGGGGGGGGGGAGAGAGAGAGAGAGAGCCATTTCTCTTGAGAACTAAAAGATTTGTGAGAACTTGCGAACTCATAATCAGTTCATCATTTTTCAACACCAAAAACACCAATCTTCTCCAATTGGTGTGTCCAATGTAACATCCAATTCATGTAAGAATTTCGTCAAGTTTAAATTTGGAAGTTTCACCCGACTCACGACGCAAGCAATGTTGTCATGTCGTGAGGGGAATATTGAAACGCGTGTCACCTTTGGGCTCACGACGTGAGCACATATGGCTCACGACGTGAGGCCAGTCTGAGAGGAAAACCTTAATTTTTGGGGTTTTATTATGTATTTACAGGAAGTGAGGGCTAGGGTTAGCCCGCCCACAACGCCCATCACCTCCTTACACTCCCCTTTGAAACCATAGCATCCATATTTGATATTGAGCTTATTTGCGGTGATTTAAGCTAAGAAGAAAAAGAGGAAGTGCATCTAGTCATCATTTCTGCATTCAAGCATCATCATCAATTATTTTAACACTTTATGGACCTCTGTGAGTTTGAAAGTTCATTGCTTTATGAGTACATAGGCTTGGATCTATATTTTGATGCTTTATCCTTCATATTCAAGATGATGTAGCGGTTGGGATCCATAAAGTTGCCAACTTTATGGATCTCTAGTATCCCTTGAGTAGTATAGATGCTAGATCTGGAGTATGGTTGAATTTTAAGACTTTTACATGAGATTTGAAGTCATTTCTTCCTTTTGTGCCCTAGTTAGTGTTTGGGACATGCATTGGACATGTATTTCCAAAAAGCCATGATTTTTATGATGTTATGGAGTGAATAAGACACTATGGAGGTTTTGGTTGCTTATCCAAAAGGATTAAGAGTTTTATTAAGCCTTTCTGTCCAGAGCGTCCTCACGACACGAGGATGATGTTCCTCGACCATTTTGTCTTATTAGGTCACGACATGACCACTAGAGGGCCACGACGTGATAAGTGGACGTGGGACTTTTGAGTGTGGATTTGACTTTGACATTTGACCAAGGGTTTGACCAAGTTTGAGTCAGGGGTATTTTGGGTAATTTGAGTAGTAAATTGAGTTGGGTCACTGTTATTGTATAGGTAATTAGTAAAGTCAGTATCCGGAGTGGCGATTTGTTCAACTACCATTTCAGTCTGTGAGGTGAGTTTTTCTTCACTGTACTTGTGGGTCAAAGGCGCCAAGGCCGACCCACTAGATTTTGTATCACGGTATACTGGATTGTTGTTATGTTGAGTATGTGTTAGATTAGTAGATTTGTATGATTACCTGTGTTCACTGAGTATGCGTTAAATTGGTAGATCTGCATGATTAACTGTTTGCTAGTTACTGATTGTTATGGTATATGTCGACATGTTATGATTGTTAGGTTGAGGCGGTCCCGCTTTGTGCTGAAGGCCAAGATACCCAAGACGGTCCGGATAAACTGTAGGCACTGCGCAGCGGTCCAATCAGGCTGAAGGCTCATGTATGCATGCGGTTATCTGTTTGTGTGTGTGTGGTACTTTGGGGGAACTCACTAAGCATTGGTTTACAACTTCAGTCTATGGTTTCAGGTACTTCAGACGATCGTGGGAAAGTGAAGGCCTGATCGTGCATATATCTTCTCAATTTTATGATTATGGATTTTGGGATACTATGATTTTGATTACTTCTATTGGAAACACTTAATTATAACAATTATGGTCTATGGTTTGGTTTTGAAAAATTGAAAATTTTACTCTGATTTTTAGGATGTTACATATAAGTCATACTATCTAGGTTAAAAAAAGATTTGATGATTTATTTTTTTGTATGACTGATGATGAGTACAATAAATAGTCATATGGACTGCTGATTGCTTATCAACAGTCAATATGGCTGCTGATTGCCTGATTGTGCAAATCCACAATCCATATAACTGCTTATTGTGCTCATGACCAGTCCATATGACTGTTGACTGTGCATACATGTAAAATTTGAAAATAAATGAAAAAAATTGTCAATTTTTTTGAGCGTAGATATGATTTAGACGCACTATTTGGAAAAAATTAGTGTTTTTGATTTTAAAAAATGATAAGTTGATTATGAATTTGTAAGTTTACATACTTTTTTTTAGTTCAACAAAAATGACTACTTTACATTGGTTGTAAAAAAATCGGTGAATATAGGTTTTATCGTGATTTCGGCCTTATTTTTGACCGAGATAGGTAAAAGATATTAACTTGGAGATTTTGATCTTTGCCGTACAAGTTGACAGGTTGGATCGATCAAGCAACGGTGGTGCAAACCAAAGATGACGCAATAAATCATTTTCATTTTAAACGTTTAATAAAAAGTAAAAAACTAAACAAAATTATATTTCCTTGTATCTTCAAACCCCACCCCCTTTCATCAATCCCTCGCTCACGAATCACAGGGGCGCTGTTACAAAAGCACAAGGAACCTCTCGATCTCAATCAAATCGCTCAATTGGGAAGGATATTCATTGTTGCTCAATCGTTTTCAGTTCGAGTTGTTTTGTTGGATCGCTCACTCGAATCTTAGGGTTCAGGAGCTAATAATCGATTTAAGGCTTAATTCTGATATCTAACAATGGTGAGCTTTCAATTTCTACTTGATTCTCATTTTCGGTGTTGTAGTGTAGATCCGGTTTTGAATCTTTGATGAATTGACATTTTATCATTGTTCAATCACATTACTAATGTTGGAACTTCAATTGTTGGTGTTTGTTTTTCGCTCTGGGACAGCCTCTCAGGCTCGATATCAAGGTACTTTTAGTTACTTCAATTTGTGTTGATATTATTGCAAAACATTTGTTCGATAATGGTAAGTACTTATTTTTTGTGCAGAGGAAGCTTGCTCAAAGATCAGAAAGAGTAAAATCGGTGGACCTGCATCCTACGGAACCATGGTAACGATTCACATGTCATATAGTAGTATACTAGTTGTATGTTAGTAACTGTTTTTCTTCTTGTTCTGAAATTGGCTGACATTGCTCCTTTTGGTTATGGCTTCTATCTTTTTAATAGCTTAACTTTGAGCCTCAATGTGAATTTGTGATGAAGTGGTTATATGTTTATTTATTGATGGACGTGTCTACTTCTGTCTCTTCACAGGATCCTCACAAGTTTGTATTCAGGAACAGTCTGCATATGGGATTACCAGTCTCAGGTATGAAACCATTCTAATGATTCAAAGTAAGAATGAGCTCTAGTTAAAGTGATATACTGCAATGAAGATCATCAGACACCTTCAAAGATACATATGTTCATCAGTTCATGTTTATCCCATGATACTTCCTATCCATGTAGTGTAGAAATGCAGTTGGATACAGTTGAGGAGCACACAATTCTGGGTTCAAATTATTTTCATTGTAATATAAATTGGAATAGTTTTCCACTTTTCCTCACCCATTGTATATATGGAGCTAAATCCATGGCCTGGTATAGAATGTCATGATTTAGATTTACAGTGAAGCCTAGCTAACAAACTTATTGGGAATGAGAATCAAAACTGTTGATGACAGACATAATTATAGGTAGATATATACTGAATATTAGCTAACAAAAGTTATTTGGTCTTTGTTATTGTAGACTATGACAAAATCATTCGAGGTTACTGAGTTACCAGGTTTGTGATCGATATTTCTGTTATAACATCTATTCCCATTCATGGTTGTACCCCAGAAACTTATATCTGATATTGGATGCTTATAATTTCTTCACAGTCAGATCAGCAAAGTTCATAGCACGCAAGCAGTGGGTTGTTGCAGGTGCAGATGACATGTATATCCGGGTATACAATTACAATACAATGGATAAAGTCAAAGTATATGAGGCACATACAGATTATATTAGATGTGTTGCTGTTCACCCCACCCTCCCATATGTATTGTCATCATCTGATGACATGCTTATAAAACTTTGGGATTGGGAAAAGAACTGGCTTTGTACTCAAATTTTTGAGGGCCATTCCCATTATGTGATGCAAGTGACAATCAATCCAAAAGACACCAACACTTTTGCAAGTGCATCCCTTGATCGTACCATAAAGGTAATTTCAAGAGTTCTTACATTATCCATCAGCCAAAAATGCCTTTTCAGCAATGCTGATGTCATTGCCTCTTTATTTATTTCTTGTTCTAGATTTGGAATCTTGGCTCACCTGATCCTAACTTCACACTTGATGCACATCTCAAAGGAGTGAATTGTGTGGATTATTTTACTGGGGGCGATAAACCTTATCTAATTACTGGATCAGATGATCACACTGCTAAGGTTTGTGCTTATAATCTTTATGTTCTTTTCCAATCTGTATGTATGGCTATGCTAATAAAGATTTGAAACAGGTGTGGGATTATCAAACCAAAAGTTGTGTCCAGACTTTAGAAGGTCACACACACAATGTTTCTGCTGTATGCTTCCATCCCGAACTCCCAATAATTATTACAGGTTCTGAGGATGGTACTGTACGTATATGGCACTCCACCACTTATAGGTAACTTCTTATTAATGCTTGAGGGTTACAAATGACATGGTTGCCCCTTATTCCCCTTTTTTTTTTCTGGTGCAGACTAGAGAACACATTGAATTATGGACTTGAAAGGGTCTGGGCTGTTGGGTGCATGAAAGGTTCACGAAGGTAACTGTGCTTTCTAACTACACATTCACATGTCTAGCACTAGTGTTTGCATATAAGGCATATTCAAGTTTCTTATCATAAGATTGATCTACTATACAGGGTTGTTATTGGATATGATGAAGGGACCATAATGGTGAAAATTGGTCGTGAGGAGCCTGTAGTTAGCATGGATAATAGTGGAAAAATTATATGGTCTAAGCATAATGAGATCCAGATTGTTAACATCAAAAGCGTGGGTGCTGATCATGAGGTGTGGGCTTTTTTGTCCTACAAAGACATGGAAAAATAATAATTCCTTTTCTGTTCTTTTTTTTTTCTTTCTGTGAAATGACTTTTTTGCCCCTTTGCTTTGCTTCTCAGGTTTCTGATGGAGAGAGGTTACCTTTAGGAGTTAAAGAGCTGGGAACATGTGATCTCTACCCACAAGTAAGTTATGCTTGTTTCCTCATATAGCTTTTTTTTCTTCTTCCTAAAACCCTAATATCAGATATGGTGACAAGAGGTTTGTAATTGTGGTGATTATGTCATTGTTCTTGTTTTTTTTTTGTTTAGAGCTTGAAGCACAATCCAAATGGGAGGTTTGTGGTTGTATGTGGTGATGGTGAATACATTATATATACAGCTTTAGCATGGAGAAATAGATCCTTTGGTTCTGCTTTGGAATTTGTTTGGTCAACAGATGGTGAGTATGCTGTTAGAGAGAGCACATCTAAAGTCAAGATTTTTAACAAGTCTTTCCAGGTTTGTACACTCCCTATACCTAATGATTCGATCAATGACGAAATTACCCCTCCTGCACTTCTCTTCCGTATCTTATTATTTTATTCTTTTGGATGATCTTTTTAATCAGGAAAAGAAGAGTATCAGGCCGACATTTTCAGCTGAACGAATATATGGAGGATCTTTGTTGGCAATGTGCTCAAATGATTTTATATGTTTTTATGATTGGTCTGAGTGCAGATTGATTCAACGGATTGATGTTAATGTCAAAGTAATAATTATTACCCTTATCTTTATTTTGCTTATATGTTACCATATCACTTTTTTTGTTGCCACTTCCACTTAAGTGTATGAAACAACATTGTTTTTGTTTTTCTTTCTTCATTTTTAGAACCTATACTGGGCTGATAGTGGTGATTTGGTGGCTATTTCCAGTGATTCATCATTCTACGTGCTAAAATATAATGTAAGATCCTTAATCTTTATCATTTTTCTCCATTTACATTTGTGCAAAGGGCAATATACAGAAAAACATTATATCAATTTAGCCATTTGACTATTTTCTATAGTAATTAAACCGTTAAATACTTTAGAAAAAAACCATTTTGCTGGTTACCTGGGTTTATATCAAGGCAAAATACAGAAAAACACAATGTACTTTTACAATATCGATTTAGCCATCAAACTATTATTATAATAAGCATAACAGTAGTTCAGTGGCTAAATCGATCAAAAATTGGAAGTTAGTTTTGCTTTTCTGTATTTTATTGTTTTCAAAACCGATTAATGGGAGAAAACGGTTTTCTCAAAACAGTAAAAGTACGTTGTGTTTCTTTTTGTATAGTGCAAAAATGTGATTAATATATAAATTTTGTTATGTTGCAGCGTGATGTAGTATCAGCACATCTGGATAGTGGAAGACCTGTAGATGATCAAGGAATTGAAGATTCCTTTGAACTTCTATTTGAAGTAAATGAAAAAGTTAGAACTGGATTATGGGTTGGAGACTGTTTTATATACACTAATGCTTCATGGAGACTCAACTATTGTGTTGGTGGCGAGGTATTATATATAATAGCAACTTACACTTTTTTTTTATTTATTTAAAATTATTGATCAATATTTAATGTGACATTTGTTTCAGGTTAACACAATGTTCCATTTGGATCGACCTATGTATCTTCTTGGGTATCTTGCTAATCAGAGCAGGGTTTATCTCATTGACAAAGAATTCAAGTGAGTGGGTATAATAATCTTAAATAAACAATTGGCATCAACATTTATGCTAATTTTTTTTTTTTAAAATTTTAGTGTCATTGGTTACACTTTGCTTCTGACGTTAATCGAGTACAAGACACTTGTGATGCGTGGAGACATAGAACGAGCTAATGGAGTTTTACCCTCAATCCCAAAGGAGCATTATAATAGGTAGAGTTTCAAATATTATATTGTTATTACCAAAATTTGTATCTTAAATATATCTATATTTTTTATAAACAAATTGTGGTTGTTTTCTTCAATAGTGTTGCTCATTTTCTGGAGTCACGGGGCAAGGTTGAAGAGGCCTTGGAAGTTGCTACAGACCCTGATTATAGATTTGAGTTGGCCATTCAGCTTGGTAAACTTGACATTGCCAAGGTAATAGATTGCTCTTTAATTAAAAACTAAGGGCATTAATGGAATTGGAATTTGAGATTCCATTCCATGGCATGTTTGGTTGCTAAAAAATAGAGGCAATTCAATTCCGTTGGGAGTCCTACAATTTCTATGTTTGCTGGATTTCATTAGGAGGGTGGAAGGAATTCAATTCCGTTTTTTTATTTATTTTTCGTTAAAAGACTAAAATACCCTTGTTATATAATATTAAAATAAATAAAAACAAAATTCTGATATATTTATATATTCACAATAAACAAAAAATTTGTTTTATATAAATAACATTTTTTAATTCCTCATTATATGAACACTGAAATAAATAAAAATAAAAATTTAATTATATATATTTGCCATTCCATTTTTTGCCAACCAAACACATGACAGATTATGATTCCTTCAAATTTTCAATTCTCTTGACAAATTATTTAATTTCCATGATTGAATTCCATTCCATTTGACTAGTTATCAAGAGCTAATATCTATACTTAATGATTTAACTTTTTCTTGATTCATGCAGGACATTGCACTGGTAGCAGAGAGCGAGTCAAAATGGAAGCAATTGGGTGAATTAGCCATGTCTGCTGGATTGGTATTTTTCGTTTCAAAAATTGAATTATTTTTCAATTATTATTATTATTTGTTTTAACAATATTTATGATTGGAATGCAGTTGGACATGGCAGAGGATTGTTTGAAACATGCAAACGATTTGAGTGGTTTATTACTTCTTTACTCTTCTTTAGGAGATGCTGAAGAGATATCAAAACTTGCATCTCTTGCTAAAGAAAACGGAAAAAACAATGTTGCATTCGCTTGTCTTTTTATGTTGGGCAAATTAGAAGACTGTTTACAGCTGTTAATTGACAGGTTAACCCTTTAATTCATTATCACTCTCATCCCATTTTTCATAGTTAAAATAAAATACATTTAACATTTATAAAAATACTGTCTCTGAAAACTGAAATATTATTACTGTCCTTCCAGCAATCGGATACCTGAAGCTGCTCTAATGGCACGATCTTATCTTCCCAGCAAGGTTTCAGAGATAGTCTCCCTTTGGAGAAAAGACCTTAACAAGGTTAATCTCGGAATTCTGCTACTTTTTCATATTTATTGTTTGATTAGAATATATTTATATTTATATATATCAAAATTCAAACTTATGATGATGATAACAGGTTAACCAGAAAGCTGCAGAATCTTTAGCGGATCCTCAAGAGTACCCGAATATGTTTGAGGACTGGCAAATTGCACTTGAGGTCGAAGAAAAGGCTGCAGAGACAAGGTTTCATTTGTTTTTCTTCTTACATTATAAATTATAATGGATTTAAGTTTAAATGTGTTTTTTTTTTAAATAATAATAATGTTGTTGTGTAGGGGTAGTTATCCTCCAGCAGTGGAGTATGTGAACTATGTTGATAGATCACATATGAATCTAGTGGAGACTTTTAAAACATGCAATTGGATGTTGATGAACCCATGGAAAATGGAGGCTTAGATCATGAGGTACGTTTTCTTTCTTTCTTCTTCTTCTTCTTCTTCATATTTCCATGAAGAGATCTATGTAATTGCGAGTTCTTGATACTACGGAATTGGTGGGTGAATGGAATTGTTCATTCCATTGTAATATATATTTTTTTTAATGACAAAATCCTTTTTAAGAATCATTTTAATTAAATTTAAATTATATTTTCTAAAATTTGCTAGAAATTATTTTTCTATTTAGTCTTATTTTGGTTTTAATTATCTCTTTTTTCATGTTCATTGTTTTAGTTCTGTAATTAATAATTCTATAATGACAAAACTTCAAAAATGGTCCCTGTGGTTTTCGAAAATATCAAGTTTAGTCCCTAAGTTCAAAAAACCTCACAGATGGTCCCTGTGGTTTCAAAACTTTTAACATTTGGTCCTTTTCGCTAACTCCGTTAGCTTTTGGCCGTTAAGTGAAGGGCAATTCTGTCATTTCACTTCCACAGGGACCATTTATGAAGTTTTACCTTATTTTTTTTTTAAAAAGAAAAAAATATAATTATTTAATATTAAAGGGTCCCACCCCTCGCTCTCTCTCTCTCTCTCTCTCTCTCTCTCTTCAGATCTTGTATGGATGGATGAGTGAACAATGTTTGACTGAAAAAGTCAAAATTGGATCGAGACCTTTCTTAATTGCTCCAGACACCATCTATACTTCTTCCACCCTCCTTCTCACATCTGGTTCCGGTTCTTTTGCCAATGGAAACCATCGATTACCATTTGCACCAAATAATAATCGTACCTGAAATCATTGGTCAAAACCATATATGAAATCAAGCTATCAAACCTGAAATCAAAGCTCAAAACCATACCAAAATAATACATGGAATCAAAGCTCAAAACCGAACCTTATAATCAAAATCGTAACCGAAAACAATACACATCCAAACCACAGAATATGAAACTCGCTTGACACTTTGATGAATATCCTCTCTCTTATCTTAATCTCATGAGCTATTCAGCAACAAAGACGAAAGAAAACAACTTATATGATGAACTTGAAGAATTACACATGTCTTCCACTTCGTTCAAGAATTTCATGAGAAGCAAACCATTAACCAAAACAAAACACCAAATATACACCATCAAAAATCAGTAGACCAATCGATATACTAAATCTGAGCTATGGTTCTCACCTTGCTGATTTTAGGGACAACAGATTTGGGCATGTGAAGTCAGTGGGATTTTTTGCCCTAAATACGAGAATACTCGTGTCCTGGTTCGTGGAATCTCACATTGCCGATTTTGACCCAAATTGAGAATTCCTTGTTCGTTTGACTCGAATAGAGAAGAGAAAGAGGGATGAGGGTACGGTGAGATGTAGTGGAAGTTATTGATTTCCACCATCTTCTTCACTAACCAATTTCGTCGGTGGCCTTCCAAGAGTAACCTGCATCTTCCCCTGTTCCTTCCTATGGCTAATGTCATCGATCAACAATCACTGAAGGAGAAATCCGAGTAGGGTAATCGTACGAGGGGGATGATTAATCGTCGGGATCTGAAGGCGATTTGAAGAGGTCGGGATGGGAGATTGCTGCTAGTAGGAGTGATAAGTGACGAGATGAACCTTTGTGATAGCTTTTGGCATCTTGATTGCTAGATAGAAAAAGCCCTATGGAAGTTTGTTTCAGATCAGATGAAAAAATGGCACTAGGAGAGAGAGAGAGAGAGAGAGAGAGAGAGAGAGAGACCCTTTAATATTAAATAATTATATTTTTTTCTTTTTTTTAAAAAAAATAAGGTAAAACTTCATAAATGGTCCCTGTGGAAGTGAAATGACAGAATTGCCCTTCACTTAACGGCCAAAAGCTAACGGAGTTAGCGAAAAGGACCAAATGTTAAAAGTTTTGAAACCACAGGGACCATCTGTGAGGTTTTTTGAACTTAGGGACTAAACTTGATATTTTCGAAAAACCACAGGGACCATTTTTGAAGTTTTGTCTTCTATAATTGTGAAGTGTTAAAACTATATCTCATATTTACTATTTACATATAATATTAAAAAACCATATAAAATTATACTATAGCTTGTATTTACATATATATAATATTTTAGAATGGAAGGGAGGATGAATTTGTTGATGGTGAAGAAGGTGGTGTGGGCATGGATAATGATTCTACAGATGGTGCTGTACTTGTTAATGGAAACGATGCTGACCAAGACCAAGACCAAGATAAAGAGTGAGCGAGTGAGTGAGCCTCTTTTTTTTTTTTTGACAAAGAGTTGGTAGATGTTTTATCAGTTGATATATTCGTTTTTGAAGCCATTTTTATTGTGATTTGTAGACACATTTTATACTTTATAGGTGTGGGAATTGAGAAACAACCAACAGTCATATAGTTTTTTTGTTTCATCTCATTGTAGTGTGTTTGTTGTCTGGGTTTGCTAGGCTTCTTTTTGTAACAGCTAAACTGGTTAGATACAAAACAAATAATGTTTTCTTCATGCTTTCAACAGTTGTATTTGCTCAGGATATCCTATTGTTTTATCTAAGGTAAATCTTTTTTTGGTGGACTCATATAACCTAATCTTTTTGAATAAGCGATTTGATTTACCAAGTTAGTAATTACATCTTTTTTATATGATTTCTAAGTATACTAATTGATTAACTTGTTAATGCTACACATTATCGTTTGAATTAGAATCTGATCGGTTTGAATTTTATACCATATTTATTATATTTACAGAAAAATTATAATTCCGTCCAAATAACCTCAAACCAACCATCATCTAACCATCAAGTCAACCCCTTTAGGTAAAAAGGAATCCCTAAAGAAAAACTAAGGAAATTATTGAAGTTTATAATGTTATAACAATATACTCTTATCTATGTAATGTTTTTCTCCGAATTTTGAGTTTGAAGATTTTGATCAAGTTTTGAGAAAAGAAAATTGGGTTGGATATTATATGTTATAATGTTTGATTTGTGTTCCTTTTACATATTATTTTAGAAATGTCTAATCCTCACATTTACTTATTATGCTCCCCAAACCCCATGTTCTTTTTTTTTGCCGGGTTATTAGTTTATTTAGTAGATTTAGAGATCGAAGAACTTGACAACATTTAGAAGACTTTTATGTAAACATGTTTGAAATAGTTATGCACTATACAATATCTCTTCTATTGATTGTTATGCGTTCGTACACTTTTTAAAACATTTGAAGTTATGAGACTTTTACACAATTTATTTACTAAAATGTTTCTAAAACCAATTTTAAAGTGTTTCTAAATGATCTTTCCAAGCTATCCATACAGAGGGTATTTCAATTATAACGAAATATTCGTTTTACTTTAGGTTTATATCATTAAAAAACTTTATATATTGGATTTTTTTAATGTATTAAATTTCAACTTATTATTTTCTGAAAAAGACCTTCATTTTTTTTTTTCGATTTGACCCTTTAAGCAAGCTAACTGATAATCTTTTGGTTTTAGACAAAAAAAAATCAGAAAACTCGAGCTTATTTTTCCCAAAAAACCCTTTTGACAAAATTTTCTTTTGAACCAACCTTTTCGTTTTGGCTTATAATTATCATGTTTTTTTTTTTTTTTGTTCTCTATGGTATTTTTGATAAATTAGCTTATGATCTCAATCTGATTTTAAGATCACAAACTTACAAAGCTAAAAATGATACTAGGTAAAATCTCAATCGACATTAGTAGTACCCGAAAATCAATCTTATTTTGTATTCTTGTGATTATCTCTTTAAATAAAGTTAATTATTTAATTAAAAACAACTCTTTAAAAATGAACGAAATTTACATTTACTAAATTAGTAATCGGCCTAAAAGCAGGGTGCCAGGTGTATTATTCCCTATCTAATTTGATATGATTTATGTCTTAACCAATTCTACTCCTTAGCCTAGGGTTCATGTATATAAACACAAGCTTCCGCACACACTTGAAACTACGGCAAAAATAAGCATAGAAGCTCCACATCGGACCACTTTCAAGGTAAAAATTATCGTCTTCCTCCTTGTTGTAGTAATCGTTGGACGTGGATTTGTTGCCAATAGATTGATTTTAAGTTTCTGCTGAACTTTGTTACGATTCTTGTTGTTATTCTTTTAATCGTGACAATGTTCGTAATTGCCCGTCTCGTTGCTACTAGTTGTGATGCTATATCCTTCGATTGTGCTCAAATTTGATCCATCTTGTTAATTTACTTAATATCTTCCTGGAAGAGTAGAAAAACTGAGTAAGATTAGGTTAAAATCCCTAATTTTTTTGCTTTCCTTGAATGTGTCTCAGAGAATACGATCTCGTAGCATGTTTCAGTGTTCAATTACATTAAAAGGTGCAAAAGAAGTTTTGTGAAGCACTGGGGGGTAGATAAGTAGCCATTTTTGGAGTAACATACTGGTTGACACTTGACAGGCCTTCTGTTGTTGAAACATTGCTGAAGGTTTCAGTAGCTTTATCGTGTGGATAACTCGTTCTTAACATTACTAATAGTCTAATATGGTTATTTATTCAAGTTTATATATTAAATATACTATGGAGCTACATAATTTGTGTTTCTGTTTCTGTACTAGTGCTCTCTAGTTCACCTTGAGATTACCAGAACTTTTTCTTCTATCTGTATGTGATTTACATAACATCATTAGAAATCCTAACATACAACTGTTTTTTTTCTTTAAATCACGCAGAATAAAATTAATTTTATCTTCAGTCTGTGAATAGCTCTGTTGGATTTGAATATTCTGTGATGGGAGACACAGAAAACACACTTCCACCTTCCAAGAAAAGAGCTGCTGGAAGAGAATTATCAAGAGATAACCCTGGTCTTGATGATGAAGAAGGTGATATTCTTGATCAAGAACCAGGCACATTCAAGAAAGCTAGTGAAGAAGTACTAGCCAATAGAAGAATTGTAAAAGTCCGCAGAAAAACACCATCTGCACCTTCATCTAATCCTTTTGCATCAATTCAGTTAATACCCCCTACAGATCCCACTCCTGTTACACTCACTAATGTTGAAGAAACTGAAAAAACAGCTTCAGAAGTGGTGGAAATAGAATCTCAAGATAATGCAAAAAAAGAAACTGAAAATCAAGAAGATGGTGGTGATCAACAACCTGAAATCCAAAAAGAAGAGGCTGAGTGTGAGGCGAAAAAAGAGACTGAAAACAACAAAGTTGAGAATGATGAAAAAAGCAACAGCTTTAGCTCATTCCAACACCTTTCAAGTAGCCAAAATGCTTTCACTGGACTTGTAGGAACAGGGTTTTCAAGTTCATCATTTTCATTTGGTTCAATTACAAAAAGTGAGAATCCGAGTTTCCCTTCTTTTGGTAGCAATGGAAATGAGAAAACCGAGGGAAACAAATCCATGCAAGAAGTCCATGTGGAAACAGGTGAGGAGAATGAAAGAGCTGTTTTCACAGCAGATTCTGTGCTGTTTGAGTTTCTTGATGGAGGGTGGAAAGAACGTGGGAAAGGGGAATTGAAAGTGAATGTTTCAAGAAGTGGAATTGGGAAAGCCAGACTTGTGATGAGAGCTAGAGGGAATTACAGATTGATATTGAATGCGAGTATCTTTCCTGATATGAAACTGACAAATATGGAGAAGAAAGGGATCACATTTGCTTGTTTGAATAGCACAGGTGAAGAAGGGAAAGATAGTCTTTCAACTTTTGCTTTGAAGTTTAAAGATTCTTCTGTTGTTGATGAGTTTCGTGCTATGGTTACACAACACAAAGGCAATACAGATACAACAACAGCTGTTTCATCTTTGAAGACCCCTGAAAATTCTCCATGAACAATGAATGCCATTTTGGTCTCTCAGGTATCTATCTGCTTGCCTTTTTGTTTTTAAGGCCATATCATATCATATGAGGTGTTGAATTAATGAAACAGATTGTAGGAGTTATTTTTCTTTATGTAAACATTATATCCTATGATCCTATTCCTATCCAATCTGTTGTTATTGATAGTGGGCTTTTTGTATGCTAACACGAGCTTTTCCAATTCCTAAATGCATCCACCATTGTATGCTAATTGTGTCTGTTATCTTGTAATAACCAACTATCCAGATATGTGCCATCAAAGATAAGAATCTCTAGTCGTCTTCCTTTGATTGCAATTGATGATCCATTTTGAGAAATTCTAATTTCTCCACTCGATTTGCTTCAGAACACCTCTCATACCAATTGATGAGTATTTAAGGAAATGACACACTTGAAGAAAAAAAAACATCAAAACTGATTTATAAAAGTTAGGACTTAATATGCAAAGTCTCATGTATGTGTCTCTCCATTAAGTCAAGACATTCTATTTGTATCACTTGTTTTATAAAGGTATTTATAATAGACGTTTCTAAATCGAGGGTGTTTTATTGGACATGGTTGCGATTGATATCTGATATCTCTAGCTTTTATCATTCTTGGGCTTGCATTAAGAAGACTTATTAAGTTCCCGAATCAAACTTCGATTAAAGCCCCACACTTTTGAGTCTATTGAGGCTCATTTGCTAGGGGTGTGCAAAATTGGATTTAGACTCTCGCAAAACCAAACAACCAGATTCGACTCAACTATATAACCAAAGAACCAATTTTTTCCTACAACTTACTTTTTATACTTGAAATGTCGTTTAGATTTTATTATTATTATTATTTTTAAACTGCAAAATGCCAAATTTGTATGAAGGTTCGTCTGGTTTAGATTGGTTCGGTTCCATTATTTTGAGTGTTTTTGTTTTGGTTAATTTGTTCTTGTCCGATGAGTCTATATTTCTAGCCCTTTTTATTGTATGGAAATAGAATCTTGGTCCGTGTGTTTTTAGGACTTCTAGGTTTCCTCGCATGCTATCATTTGTCTTTCACGGGCAGCACAGCACGCACCCAAGTTCACGGGTCAAATAAAGACAAGATTACATCATATATGTTTGATTATTTCAACTTTAAAATGAAAAAAAAAAAAAAAAAAAAAAACATCCAAATTATTTAATATAGCTTATCTTATCATAGATTATATATGATTTAGATTATTAATTATCGTATTACATAATCACAATCGCATTCAAAACATACATCCAAAATCCCTTAACAATGAACATGATCAAATTATATTTAAATTTATCCATCTAACATGGACGTCTACAATCTCATTGCAAATAAAATCTCAAAGTTGATTCCTCAAATACAAAACAATACAACAATAATGACTTATACAATGATCCGGGTAATCCTTTTCATACATTAAAAGGAATGAAAACAAAATAATACATTAAAAAAATAAGAATCAACTGTAGTTCAAAACAGTGTTTTTCAAGGTGGTGAAGATGAGTAACTCATAGTGCACTTGTCTGAACATGACCCCACACAGCTCTCCACATTCTTCCCATCTGTAGAATTTTTTTTTTTTTAACACGAGTATATATGTAATTTCACCTTTTAAAATAATGTCAAGGGGACAAATAAATGATAATAGTATATATATATATATATATATATATATATATATATATATATATACAAATGTATATGTGTATAGTGGATATATACCTGGATTGTTTGGTTTGCTGAAGTTAGAACATAGGGAAGTGGCACAGCCAAGCTTGCAGTAAGCAAGGTTTTGTGCATGTGGATGATGATGATGAATAGTGGACATGGAATTGGTGGTTGTTTTAGGAGGAAGAGATGGAAAGATGCATTCTTTGAGGCATTGGGTGGTGCATGTGCAGAGGCTTTTGTCGGGTTCGATCATACAGAAAATGAAGCATTTGGCGTAGCAGTCTCTGAAGGAGTTGACATCACCCCTACAACCACCCACCACCATCGCCATCACCACCACAAGCTTCAATAAATATAACCCCTTCATCTCCATTTTCACACACCTTAGTTTTTCACTTTTCCTCTTAAGCTCACATGGGCCATCTGTCCATATATATAGAGAGAGAGAGTAAAGTTATCCAGTTTGGATAATCAAATTATGTTTATAGAAAAGACTTTTAGTGCATGTGAAACCATTTTGTTTTTTTCTTTGAATGTGATGGTTAAAAACAGTGGTATATCACTTGCATATAGAAAAAGAACATAGTTATAATAATTAATCAATAAAAATAACATTACAATTAATTTTTTACATAGAAATTCTACACATGGTCACGGGTGAACTTAAAGATAAACAAATAGCAACAAGTAATTATATATATTTGGCTGATCAACATATATGGTCATTTGCTTTAATAATCAAATCTATGTATTCTTGATTCAATTAGAACCAATATGTGACATTAATATATTTTTATGGCAAAAATTTGTGTGTTTCTTTGATGAACTATCACTTTCATATTTATGCCAACTGTAGTTACTTCTGTTAGTAATAGTTATAAAATTTGTTTTTAGTTCTAACTTTTAAGGGGTGTCTGTGATTGATTATTTAAAGTGTTTATTGGCTTATAATAATAAACTACTTACTTTTATATTTATCACGGTTTCTTACGGTAATAAACTATTTTAAGTGTTTGTATAAAGGAATATTAAAAACACTTGCTAATTTAAATAATAAGTTTTTGATAAGTTACATCCTCCTTATTTATTGACTTAAAACTCCATTTTTTGACACCGGATGTAATGTCCCAAAATTTACAAAGTAAAAATTTGTGTTTTAAGTCAACAAAAACAACCATTCATTCATTCTAAAAGCCCATCAAAGTATAGAAAAATATCAAATAGTTATTAGAGTACAAAACAAGTCATAAAATGCGGAACACTGGTGGATACGATACAATCACGTCGTACTCTTTCCTTTGGAAGCGGAAGTACCTGAAACATAAACATAAACCGTAAGCACAAAGCTTAATGAGTTCCTCAAAATACTGCATACCATACATACATCGGGCCCTACCCTGCCCGTCATACATAACATGCAAGAGTCACAAAGGCAAATAATATCCTATAAACATAATCCAGAGGGCCGGCATTGGCACTTATGGCCACGTTGTGGCGGGTCATTAAATCCTGCGATCCAAAAAACTATCACCACGCCGTGGCCACCTAAAATGAAGACTTAAAATATAACGTATTAGTTCATACCTGAAACAAGTATTACAACACTCCACCACTTGAATAAGACTTCGTCCTCGAAGTCCGCTGCTGTAAGTAACTCTGGATAATGCTCTCTCATCTCTTCCTGGGGTTCCCATGTCCACTTTGAACCCTTCAGGTGATGCGTAATGTGTGTTTTACTTCCAGTTTCTGAAAGAAATTTAATGAGGAGTTGGGTACCCGACTGCATTTTAGCACCGCATACCATCTGCAGACGGACGGGCAGAGCGAGCGGACGATTCAGAGGCTCGAGGATATGCTTCACGCTTGTGTTATGGATTTTGGTGGAAGTTGGGATTCCTATCTTCCCTTGGCTGAGTTTTCTTACAACAACAACCATCACTCCAACATTGGGATGCCTCCCTTTGAGCTTTTATATGAGAGGAGGTGTCAGACTCCTATATGTTGGGGGAGGTCGGACAGAGAGTTATATGGAGCACCGAGATAGTGCTCAAGACGACAGAGCATATCCAGCAGGCCAGACACTGATTGCTGACTGCCCAGAGTCGTTAGAAAAGTTACGCAGACCGGCGACGTTCCGAGCTAGAATTTCAGGTCGGCGATTTTGTTCTCCTGAAGGTATCACCATGGAAGGGTGTGATCCGATTCAAGAAGTGGGGCAAGTTGGGCCCTAGATTTATTGGTCCTTTCAGGGTGGTTGCTTGAGTGGGTAAGGTAGCTTATCGATTAGAGCTGCCTGAGGAGCTGAGTCAGATTCATGACACCTTCCATATATCCCAGTTGAGGAAGTGTGTAGCCGACGAGACGCCGTTGGTTCCGTTAGAGGACAATCAGGTTGATGATCGCCTGAATTAAATTGAGAGGCCGGTGGCGATCTTGGATAAGAAGGTAAAGACCTTGAGGAACAAGGCAGTACACTTGGTTAATGTAACATCCTGAGATTTTGCAGGTATTTCCGAATCCTCTCTTCTATTATTATTTTGTCATTTGTAGTCCCTGGGGTTAGAAAAGTCGACCCATGAGAAACCTAAGGGCTAAAGTTGCAACTTTGTGAACAAGGCTAGTACGCTAAGCGTACATAGGGTACGCTAAGCGTATTAGGCGCGCCTTAGTACGCTAGGCGTACACTTGTGTACGCTAAGCGTACTCACGTCAGGAGGAAACCCTAATATTTAGGGTTTGAGTGCTATATAAACATCCTTATGAGCTCATAACCCTCCCTTACCTCAGCCTCCACAATTTTGAGCCGTTTCCCCCAAACCTTAATCCTTTCCTTGAGTGTGTGAGCTTATAGAGTGTGTTTTGAGTAGTTGGAGAAGAAGGTGTTGCATCAAGAAGTTGGAGAAGGAGAACAAGCTTGTAGATCTGAAGTTTTTTTGTGCCCTAGAAGCTCCAGAAGGTAAAAAGCTTCAAACTTTATGCTTGTATGATATAGATCTTGCCATGCTAGCTTTAAGGAACCATTTCTTGTCCCAAAGTCCCCAAGTTGGTGCATGATATGATTTAGACGAAATAAGTTGTCCTTTCAGACCTTAGAAAGGGTCGTAAGTGATAAAAATGATGTCCAATGGCTTAAGATGTCCCATGCATGTAGTAGAAAGGTCTTAATGGATTAAGACCATGTATTAAGAGCTTTCTGGACGTCCGAAGTCTTAAAGTTCGAGACTTTATGGTTCTAAGACACTTTTGGTCGATGGATCTGGAATTTGGGCTTAAGTGCTTAAGCCATTAAGCACTTGTTAGGGTTTTG